AAAAATGTCCTTTTTGTCGATGTGGTACCCAGGGGTTTTTTGGGGCAAAACCCGGGATTTCGAGTCATTTATGGTTTTTCCCATTTTTTCTCGTCAAAACTATTTCTGCGATTTTTTTAATCGATGTAGTACCCAGGAGTTTTAGGCAAAAACGGGGCAAAAAGGGGTGTGTGCTCCAGAACTCTCCAATCCCTACTACTCACGTGAAGAATAAACGTTGATCTTAATAGAAGATGAGAGACATGTATCAAGCTTAGTTCCATTAAATGAATCCAACGTTTGTGTGAATGTTACAATTATCAAATGGACAACGTTAACTTTCTGTTTGTCTCCTTCAATTAAATTAATGTTTCAATTTGTCAAAATGCTGCACTATCACAAACATGACAGAACAGACTAATGGAAATAGCCTACTGCAGCAGCCTGATCGATATTAATGAATTATAGTCAAACAAGCATAACTTCACAAGGTGAGCGGGGAAACAGCGAAAACTAATGAAACCGAAGTGTTGAACGATTGACCCCACCTCTGAGGTGTATACCACATGAATAATTCATACAGTAAATGATTTATTTACCTCCAGTGCATTGCGCAGGATATGAATTCTTGCCAAATATGAGCCCCTGCAACTTGTAATGGTTTCGCCAATGATCAGTGATTTACGACCCCTCCCTAAAAATGTGCCCCCCCCCCGAGAAAAAATGCTGTACATGGGTCGGAGTATATTCTCTGGATCTCACTTTGAAAAGTACATCCATTACAAATTAAATTTTAATTAAATAGCGAAGACAAGAAACACATCTGATACAGCTCAGTACACATTTTACTATGAGCCACAAAATAACAGCAGAGAATACCTCAAATTCCATAGATTAAAATGTAAAAATAAAACATATAATAATATAAGAATATAATAATATATCGTATAAGAATATATATAGAATATTAAGCTGTCAACATGGTAAAACACCACTACATTGAGAAAAGTCAACGGGCATGCACAATAACAGTTGCGAACCACTTTCACACCATGAGCAAAACAGATATTTAACGAGTAGGATAAGATCAAGAAACCGATAAGAATTAAGGTGCAAAACTCTCAAGTATACCGGTAGGCTCATGTAGAGGCAAGAGAGGCAAAATTTCAGAGCGACTTCAAATTAGTTTCCAGTTCAACAACTATTTCACGAGTTTTATAAAGTTAAACGATGGAAAAATGTGTTTGATTATATCGAACATTGGAGAAAAACGCCTTAATTTGGAAAGAACGTCACGTTTATATTTTGCGATCTAGAGACGCTATCTTGGGCAACATTCGGATTTCCAAAATAAGTCTTGCGACAATAATTTCCAAGATAACTACAAGTACATGGACATAAATAAAAATGTATTTTCCGGTAACTCACGGACGTAAGCATAAAATTACTTTAATGCTGGGAGGTTTATACTAAACATGATACATTGGATGATGACAAGATTTTTCAATGGATAACTTACAGCATCAACAAACTGGAAGTTCTGTTATTTCGTGCTTACCAGGTAAATTTAAGCAATTGTTGATTGCCTCCCTTTATTCCAACATTTGCAACAAATGCTTAACATTAACATTTAAAATGCCAATTGAAGACGTCTTACGCAATCACCTAGTTTTTCTAAATAGCACAAAATTTCCCGTTATTATTCAGTTTTAGTTTATTTTGTTTTTTAATATGTGTAGCTTAAGTCCTGGTGGAGCGTCGGTTCAGTCAAAAACGGTTTGGACGGTTCAGCCAACTTACATTTGGTGGATCAGAAAACCGGAGAACGATGAAGGATGGTAAGAACTACCGTGCATACTTATTCCAGCTACGGAAGTCTCAATCTTAACTGTATCCCCAATAACCAACTGAATTACCGCAGAATTACTTGGTTGGTGGTGATGATTGTCGTGTTCGTCATGGATCTGAAATATGTTGTCACTATTCCGTTTCAGGAACGCGTCAACACGTGGGTTTGTGTTGCTCTCCGTCATAAGTGTCACGCTGAAGAAATAGAGACCGGGAACTGAGCAGGTAAACACGCCCGACTGCGAATCGTACCCACCTCCAATGTTAGTTTCTACGTAAGGAAACACAACAACATCCCCGCTATCCCGTGACACGTCACTTGTCAGGAAAGCAGTGAAAGCAACGACAGACTGCAGTGCTTGAGTCACTGTGGACGTTTCCCCAGGCTCCCCCTTTTCGCCCTTCTGCCCCATCTCACCTGCAACACCTGGAGACCCAACAACTCCCTTCAAACCAACTCCGGTCTCGCCCCGATCTCCTTTCGCACCAGGATCACCCTTTTCTCCCTTTGGCCCACGAAGGCCGATGCCCGGTTCACCCGTCGGGCCGGTTGGCCCCTGGACTCCGTTGCTCCCAGGAAGTCCAGGGACCCCAGGGACCCCTGCGACCCCTGCTGGACCCTGGTAGCATGCACCATAACAAGAGCCCGGAGTAGAAGATGTTGTGGAGCTCTCGCTACTTGGCTGAGTGTTGCAAGCAGCTATCCAGCCGCATAACAGAAACAGCGAGAGAGTTGCGGCAAGTATCATTTTTCCCTGTGGGATAAATCAAACAAAATATAATTCGTACCACAAACAACCCCCGACATTGCAATCAAATCAAAGCAAACAAAAACTCAACATTCCAAAAAACCACAAAAACGCACAATAAATTACAGCTACAAACAAAATTCAATTGGGAGCATCTGTTTCGTACGTTCATATAACTTTGGACTTCCATCAAATTCCGTCTTTATGTTTCCTCAAAATAGACTTGCTGTTAGTTGTTTTCACGCATGCTACATCAGAGCAATGCGCAACTGGCTTATGCACAGAGCCTCGAGTTACATACTGAACCAGATTAGTAATAATCGCAAACAGAAACTCATGCGATGGCACAGCAGTAGATCAGGGCAAGGTTGGTTCATTTTGCGTGAAAACAAAAGCAAACACAAGTTTTGGTGGACGGCGTACTTGGGTCATTTTATAAATTCGGGATCCAAAACACTGACATTTTTTTGACCCTGTTACACCTGACCTGTGTAATTTGACGTGGAAATATCACTGAAATTGATTTAAAACTATTTTTGTTTGTTTGACACATAATTTGCATTAATTCATCACTCGTGGAAATTACAGAATATGGGCGTTTCACAGCAGTTAGCCAGCAACAGTTTGTAACGCGTTGGCCAATAACAATACACGAAATCTGTCAACCCAATGCGCGTTTGGAAAGGGTCGACGGATTTCGCGCATTCTGTTGGCCAACGCGTTGCAAACTCTTGGTGGCGCACTCTTTTGAATCGCCCGTTTTGTTCTGAAATTACAAATCATATGTCAGAATAGACAGGGACACGAAAAAATTAGATCCTTATTTTTACAATGACCTATTTTCAGAACTTGAGCATATAACTCAAACGAAATTTGCAGTAAATGTTTCGTGACGTTAAATTTGCTTGGCTTTATACGGGTAATTCAGGCTGGTTCCCTGTGGCGTTAAAGCAACCGTGGAGATGACATCACGTCACCAAATTGAAATTCAACAAATTGAAATGCTTTCAGCTCCTGTTGAGCAAATCACTGTCGTGAGCTTTAGTACCTTACAGGAACCGGTCGTACATCGCAGCAATTGATCTCCATTATAAAGATCAATGATTACAGCTGACAGTGCGTGCCTGGAAGAGTTTGCGACGCGTTGGCCAATGACAACACGCGAAATCTGTCGATCCACTGCGTGTTCGGAAAGATTTCGCGCACTGTAGAATCAACCGTATTAGAGCCGCATACACGTATAGACCACCGGGTCCCCCTGACCGGGTCCTATTCAAAACCAGAGGGGTTTTTCGTGATCTGCGCGGCTGCCCGACTAAAACCAAAACTGTGGGCAAATTCACCCTCGGTACAGGGAATTTAAGCACAGTTGAAGAATTCTAGCCATGAAATTCTACGAAACCATTTTTCGATCGTAAAAATCCTCTTCCAAGTTTAATCTGGCCCATACAGATAACAGTGCGCAGTTGCAACATTTGCAAAGAAGAGATACCAGTACCGAAGAGCAAAAAGGTGAATGTATTTGGAAGCACATGTAAACAAAAACAAATACAGGTAATTTAAGTGTTGCGCATAATGCGCACTGAACGCGCTCCCATTCGCCCATTGTTTGACCATACTTTTGAAAATCACGGTTATACGCGCGAGACTGGCGGTTTATGCATTTGATTAGAGCAGACATATTAACGCAGAGCATACCTCTGAACTCACCTTTGGCGCGTGATCAAAACGTAGATTTCAGGCCTGACGTTGTCGGTAATATTCGGTGCTCGATACCTCAATTTTGTTCGCAGAGTGTGTTCGTCGAGACTGTCGCTGTACTGCGTTTGATTGCTTCTTGTGTGAGACACACAGGACACCGCTCTACTGAAAGACTGACGTTTGAATAAAGAATATTTATCCTCTGTATATTTCGACCAAACGGATGGACACTGCGAAACGTCTGGGCAGAGAGTGGATCCCTCCAGGTCACGTCAGAGAATCGGGTTGGGCACAATAACAGGCACATCAAGGGGGCCGAACAAATATTGTCTGATTGATGGATGTTGTAAACACTGAAAGTTTGTCACAACAGTTCTGTATCCCCTGCCGAGATGCGATAAACAAATCCTGAAGTGTTTATGTGTCTTTCTCTACAGGGCCCATATTTACAATCAACACGAAAAAATACCTCTTTGGCTGTGCTAACTTCTTTCGTTTTGCCTGCGTGATAGTTGCCTTGCTTCACGTGGGCCGCGCCGCACTGACTACCAGCACTCTCTCGATTTAGGTGTTCTGGCTCGGCCGTATTTCAAACCACTTACAGATCCAGGGGTCGGATTAAGAAGGGGTCAGCCCCCACACCCCGCTCTGAGACAAACAATAAGCCAAAAAACCTAAAAGGAAAAAGGGGGAAATGGGGAAAATCACAAAAATTACTAAAAGTGCACCAATATCATTGCAAACAATGCTACGGCATGTATAATGTTTAATCATTTCTGCTTATCCACTAGAATGAGACATTGACCCTACCATTTTCTTTGTGCTGAATACAATTTAATTTTTGGAAAGTCCGAAACAAGTTTCTACAAACGCACATTAGGCCTAGGCCTTTTTCTCCCCATCAACAGAGTAACTAGATAATCCTTGTTTTCTTAATTCTAAGTCCAACGGGAACCCGCCACGAGATAAAAAAGTTACCAATGTAGCAGCTTGATAGGGCATGACAGACTCAGTCCACACTGTATTAGAAGCATTAATTCGTTGAAACAACTCCTTTATCATATGCCCTACAAGAGTGACAAATGGAGTCAGAATGTGTCAAGTAATAGTAAAAGTATAGTAATATAGCAGTCCTTGTAATCATCATGACAATTACCATGGACGGAGCTAATTAGGCGGTGGATCACTTTGCCATACGGGGGAATATAATAGGGACAATATAGCGTAGCCCGGGCTCTTCTGAGAGGGGAGCAAGGTGGCAATCATAGGAATTCCAATTGGGGAGTCGCCCCACGTGTCCCCCGGCTTTGAGGCAAGGCTCTTCTCAGAGGGAGGCAAAAGGGGGGAAAGAGTTCCAACAAGTAGGCATATTTTCCTCTCATTTCTCTCATCAAAATAATCATTTTCCATGTTCTTTTTATACATAAAGCTATGCATGCCTTGTTTGCATGTATAGGGCCTGCAAGAAAACATGCGTCAAGACCTTCGTTTTTTCCTTACTGAATGTAGCCTATCCTGGAAGGGTAAATTAAAAGTGAAAAAAAACCTCATCTTTATCAATCATGTATATAAATTAGGTTTTAGCAAAGGCAATAACTAATTTGGTCATCCGAGATATTTTGTCGCCGAGAAATCTGTTTTTTTTCGCTCATTTTTCTTATTGGATTATTCAGTCGAGAGAACGAGTCTATTTTGTCAAGTGAGTGAATATGAATTAAAGTTAGTGGGACGTGGATCCATTTTTAATGTTTGTTTCTCATTTTGTCTTCCCAGAAGAGAGCTAGACTTGGGTTGACACTGGGTTGCCCAAGTGCAATGAATAACGGTAATCAGTGGTGGGATGGGATATGTGCCAATGATTAACATGGAAAGGGGACAGACATAAACCCAAGGGTGTGGGAGGGGTGTGGATGGGGAAAGGCCTGAGTGTTCAACTTGTGACGGTAGTTGCAGGGCGTACAAATAACAAAGAACGTCGCAGTACATGTTGGAATGAAATTAGGTGTACGGCAGCCACAGGAAGGTCTTTTCGGAGGACATCAAGACTATTTGTCTTCTCTTTAAAAAATTATTTGTTCATTATCGTGATTACAGATTTGTTTTGAGAGACAAGGTGGACGGTGAATGGTTTATGGAGTCATGGGGTGTTCGGAAGAGGGGACAGACCACCGGAGGGTATAGGGAACATTTACTGTTGGCTAGTGATACTGTCAAAACAAGTAAATAAGCAACGGGCACATTAAATTAAGCAATTTTAATTATTATGTAAGGATATCGATGTTAAATAGAGACAAACCAAGGAACCTCATAATGCATGAAGTAAAAATACTGCTCTTTATTAAAATTCATTTCCTCGTTACTGTTTTAAGCAATTTATTTAAATGAACTGGGAATGACTACTAGAAGAATGCCAAACATCAGGACTCACCCTTTCAATAATATATCTTGCATAGCACGTCTTGGCCACCGTAGATTTCAAAAACCGCTGGAGTTTTTTAACTCGTACTTTTAAACTTGATTCATAAGATTTTGTTTGTGGTTCAATTTATTTTCCTCCGGTCTACGATAGCTGAGGCGGAAAATCTGTGTATGCAAGCGGAGGTGGAGTCTCTAGTATCACGGTATCGAGAAATGGTTTCTACGATGGTCTTTAAAGCACTTTAGTTTGAATAAATGAGGATAAACAGAATGATTTAGTTTTCAAAGAAAACAAAATAACCTTATTTTGTGCTGAAGTTCCATTTTACCCGTAATTTACTCCATTTTTTATATTTTTTCCAGTCTTCTCCTATGCCTTTCATTGAAATATTGAGTTGGGAACTTTACTGCGGTATGTCACCTTTATGTTCGTTTATCTGGCATGGGATGACTTCAGTTTTTCACCAGAACTTTTTACCCCAATGTTAATTGCAGACAGTTTTCGAAATCAATTTCATTTTCTTGGCGGACTCGTTCGTTTATCGATGTCTGAAACAATCCTTAAAAGTGTCTGCTTTCTGAGTTCTAATTCCCCCGTGAGTTCTAAGCATATCATTGGACCCGAACTATTTAATTCAAAATTAATGTTAAAAATTCTAAATGTCCACTGAAAAAGTAAGCTGTGTTAAAAGGGCAAACAAAGAGGAGACAATAATGCCGACGTACAATTGCCCCGGAGGGTAAAAGTACGATTGATACAAGTCTATTGTAACGGAGATTGGGGGCGCGCTTTGCACACGCAAAACTTTTTCAGCGCAGATCTTCGAAGACCTTCCAGGTATGGACTCCGAAAAAATGGGCACTTTCGCAGTTAAAATGTGCCTTTAGACATATTTGACCGTTTCAAAACTGACATATGGGAACCTGGCAACGGATATCCAGGGGCGGGGTGGCGTTAGATATCAGTTGTTTTATTTTAGACGATAAGTAATGACAGACACGGTGAAGGAAAATTTACAAATTTCGGAAACTAGATGACAACTTCCCATCTGACATCTGTATTTACGTGTACTTTAGGCCTAAGCCTAAAATGAGGGAGGACACAGAAGGAGTTACGACTCTGGCACATCAAAGTGCTCGATGATCATCGCCGCACGGTCAGACGAACAATAGTAAAACATTCCAAAACTTCCGAATCACTGCCTGCAGCTTATAGCCAGACAGATAGGGCCAGTATCGTACTACATGATGTAGTACATTGCAAAGAAATCAATACTATAGGCCCTACATGTACATGTACGTACATGTACATGTAGGGCCTATAGTATTGATTTCTTTGCAATTACATGTACATGTAGGCCTAGCTAGGCCCCCTAACTAAAACTTATTGCAGTGATCAGGAAATAGAAAGAATGAATATCTAACAGTAGATTTACTTCTGCCGCCATGAATAATTATTTGAAATGATGTTGATGCACTTTTCCATTATCCATGCAATGTTTGTAATTTTGTTGTGTCCCTCCACAACATCAGTTTTCAAAGTCCTTGTAGGCCTACAAATTTGGCTAAGACTGGCCAACGACATGTTGACCACCACAGGACAGTGAAGTCCCAGCATGGATTCAAACTCACACACCAGTGGTTCCAAACCTTCCACCTTGACCACTCGGCCACAAGCGTTCAGCGATCCAGGTAATTTTAAAATATATAAAGCGTCGTGATGATCAGCTACGTCATCGCACTTGGGCAGTTTAGTGCCGTAACGATAGAAAATGAGAAATGCGTTATGACTGCCGTAACGATAGCCACTTTGTATAAGCAAATGGACTATTTATTACCATTTAAGTCCAGAAGAAAGCATTCGATAAGGGCAACAGCTGCACATGAACACTTCGGGTACACAGCCTAAAAAAAGCAACTGCGCAAGCATTAAATTTGATGTTGTCAGATCATGCCAAGCACCATCGATGGCATAAATATTCAACTTCCTATACTGCAGTACACAACGTCTTAAGGATACAGATTACCAGCGACAAATTGCGGTGATGATCATGGGGTACAAAGCGGGCTTATGGTCGTGAAACAGGTGGTGCGTAGCGAGCCTTCGCTGCACTCTGGCTATGGACATACATGCCACAAAGTGGTAATTGGCCAGGTGTTATAGCCCTGGCAGTTCAAACTCCTGTGTCCTTCCTCCATGATATTATCAAAACCTATGGAAATATGCAGAATTTTTCTCTCTGTTTAGATAAAACTTATCCTCTGGCCATAATTAATTGATTACCTGGCTGAATATTGCCGATTGGAATCTCACTGACAATGCAAAATTCAAAATTTCTTATAGTCCGATAATAGTGTGTTTTAAAAAAAAAGGTAACCAGGGCGGGCTAGGCCCTAACCAAGATAAGACCTATAAGGCTATATTGTCTTTATTTCTTGGACATACATGTATTGGGCCCATTGTTTTAGGGTATTCTGCTATTACTCCACAGTTTATTTCAGCTTTGCAGATGAGTTTCATCAAGGCAATGATTTGCTTAGTCCCTGTAACATTACTCACATGTAAGTTTCCTACATGTACATGTAAGTGCTCCATCTGTCCATGTACATGTACCTGTACAGTTGGTCTGCAATAAAGAAATCAGATGTGATCACTCGTTCACAATCTGAAACAAGATATGTACGCATGTACACTGTAGTGTACATGTACAACCCTTACAATGTGCGTACAATTATAGCAATTGTACATGTATAACCAGCTCATTGGCGCAGCTAGGATTTTACTAGTGGGGGGGAGCACAAAGGGGGAACCAGCATCTTATGGGGAAGGGGGAACCAGCAGCTTATGGGGAAGGGGGAACCAGCA